TCTCTGTGTCTTACAGAGGGTGAAAGCCATTAGATTTTGTAATACAAAAAATGGGGTGCCAACAATTATTTGCCTTTATTCTGTTTCTCAACAGAGTCTGTGAGAATTCTTGATCTAAGTCATAGTTAGTTAGTTAGTTAGTTAGTTAGTTAGTTAGTTAGTTAGTTAGTTAGCAGTAAGACTTAAATACCGCTTCATAGGGCTTTCAGCCCTCTCTAAGCGGTTTACAGAGTCAGCATATTGCCCATAACAACAATCCGGGTCCTCATTTCACCCCCTCGGAAGGATGGAAGGCTGAGTCAGCCTTGAGCCAGTGAGATTTGAATCCACTGAACTGCAGATAGAAGTCAGCTGAAGTGGCCTGCAGTACTGCACCCTAACCACTGTGCCACCTCGGCTCAACCTATCACGCTTGTCTCCCCCAAATAGTATCTTCAGAATCCCCAAATTATTTTTAAATGAAATTGGTTGAAACTGTCAAATCTTGGTTGACTTTTTCCATTAAAAAGGTACTTATTTTTACCATGCTTATTAAAAAAAACATCTGTAGTATGTTATCAGTCCGCTGCTACTTTTCAGAAATGTCAAATGTACGTACTTCCTATTTTTCCTAATAGTATAAAGTTGAACTCTGAATTTTCTACTTCAGCTACCAAAATGTCCGGAGGCTTTTTGTGGAAACCTACTCCCTGGTTTCAAAGAGCCATTATGGACAGAGAAATAGGCGAAGTGGCACAGCACAACATGTATGCAAACTCCAGAGGACATTTTTAAAGCATGACTGATTCTGCACACTGAATATGAAAAATGTGGGAAATTATAGAATGTATTGAATATTAAAAGCTACCAAAAAATATGGGTGCAGATAAAAAGATCCATTCCAGAATGACAAGAGCTTCCACTTATCACAAATATACTGTTTTTTTAGTGGATCAGTTGAGGAATATGTCATAAGCTCTTGAACCCAAACTTCCACATTGACTAATATGATAACGTGATACCCAACAAAAATGCAGAGCCCACAATTCTCAGCATCATCAATGGTTTGCAGGCTAGTAAAGACAAACTCAAAAGTGAGTAAAATACTGGGCAGTGAATCACAACGCATATTACACAAGAGATGCCAGTCTCCTAAAAACCCACAGGAAATGTGAAATAGCAATGGATACGTATGCGCGAATTGAAAAACAAAACACAAACAGAACATCCACTTTTAAGCCACGAGGTTAAAAATATAGCACTCGCTGACTCTTATCTGATCTGAATCTCCGTTAGGACTTTTTACGGAAAAGGTTTTCCGGTCCTTCCTACAGGTACATTACAACTTCAACGGAAGTTCAGATTTCTTTGTGTTATCAGCAATGATTGATGACTTAATAACTCCAGCTAATTCTTTGTTTATCTGTCAAAAGTGGGTGCTCTTAGGTCTTCTGATTAGCATATTTTATTCCAACTTTTCTTCAAAGAATTTATAGAGGCCTAAAAGATTTTTTTCTCTCTCCATTCTACCCTCAATACAATTATCTGGCTGTGGTTACGCATGCCAAATTATCATTTTGGTAATCATTGGTTCACCCATGAAAATTACAGTTGAGCTGTGTTTACGTTATGTCAGAATGCATAGCTTGCAAACATAGCAATAGCAGTTAGACTTATATACCGCTTTCAGCCCTCTCTAAGCGGTTTACAGAGTCAGCATATTGCCCCCAACAATCCGGGTCCTCATTTCACCCACCTCGGAAGGATGGAAGGCTGAGTCAACCCTGAGCCGGTGAGATTAGAACCGCTGAACTGCAGATAACAGTCAGCTGAATTGGCCTGCAGTACTGCACCCTAACCACTGCGCCACCTCGGCTCTATAGCAATAGCAGTTAGACTTATATACCGCTTCATAGGGCTTTCAGCCCTCTCTA